ACACTCATTGTACATATCTGATATTTTACAATTCTATTCCCCTATGAGATCATTTGTATCAAATATCAATACATATATATGTAATATAGTGTATTTATATAATATAATATATATAAAAAATTCCCATTTCTTGAATATAAACTTTAAATGAAGATCAATATGAATACACACACATATATATATATATATATATATGTATATATATATATATATATATATAAATGAGATATCGTTACAATTTAACGCTTTAACTGGACTACAACTATAATCGATGTGCACGATAAATAAAAATACCACGTTTTGACTCGCAACATCGATACACGGATATAAATATATTTGTTTTCCCGTATTGTTATTTTTATATTGAACATAATATCCACGCAACAGTTACGCGTGTAAAACCACACACGATTCGAAATATTCGTTCGTTTACGCCGTTATACGATTTCGTTATGGGAATTAACGAACGAATAATATAACGAATTCACTTTAGAAACATTGCGAGCGAAAGACTTTAAGTAACAAATTACATTCAACACGCTCGATCAATTCTTTTTCCGAATTCGCGATTTTCGCGAAATCATTTCATCCCCGTTCCCCCACTCCAAACCCTCGTTCCCCGCGAATTGTCACGGAGGAATACGCGAGAAAATTTATAGATAGCCAGTGGTGGTGATGGTGGTGGTGGTGGTGGTGCTGGTGGTGGTGGTGGTGGTGGTATAGCAACACGCGGTGCTACCACCATTCATTGTTATTCATCGCTGAACGTAAATAACTAGAATCGGTCGTGATATCCGGCTGACAAAAGCAACGTAACCTCGGCTCATGCCGTGGGGTGGTCAAAACGGTAGAGAGAGGAGAAAAAGTGTTCGAAGAAGTGGGCGCGAGTGCAAGTGCAAGTGCAACTGACCTCGACGATCCCATAGCTGGTACTTCTTCGGCATCGCGACTTTGAACGCGAATCTCCTTTCATTTTCTTTTTCTTCTTCTTCTTCTTCTTCTTCTTCTTTCTCCTCCTACTCCTTTGACTCTCACTACGAAGATACACGAACGAGAGAGTACTTCAAACCGTATTTCATTCTCCGGCGTTCGGTATTTCCGGCTGGCCGATCTCGAATCAACCGAGGGTATCTCGAAAGAACCTTTTTGCCTAACGTATCACGTATTACGTTATACGAATGAAATCTTATCGAATGTGAAATAACCCGAGGAACGAGTAAATGAATTTTTTATCATAATTATGATTATTATTTTATTTCGCGTTATTTCAACAACAAAAATATATAATATAATAATTATATACGAGTGAAATTTGATATAATATAATGAAAGAAAACTAAATCTTTTAGAAAAATGGATTACGATAATTGAAATAGTTCTTTTCATTCGATGTGTTAAAAAAAAAAAAAAGAAAAATGTAAGTATAATTTTAGTTTTTAGAAAATGTAAGTTATACGGTTAAAAGGTAAAAAGAGAAACATTGACTTTATGAAATAACGTAACGTCAGATGCTTTCCTCTTTTTTCTTTTTCTCTAAGAAAAGAGTCTTTCGAAGTTAGAAAGCTTCGTTTTCATTTGAAAGACTCGTAACTTGACTTTCGAGGTTCACCGAGAAGGAAAGAAGAAGAAGAAGATGAAGAAGTAGAAGAATAAATAGAAAAAAGAAGAGAAATAAGGAAAGCAGCGGTTTATAATGTGCGTTTCGTACTTTAGTCAAAGGAACATGACGACGACGACGACGACGACGATGAAAAGGGCAGGGGGCTAACGGGGGAGAAGGGGGGGGGCTGGGTTCGCGGTTACGAACGGTCTTTTTCGCGATGCCGTCTCGAAAGCTCCGTCCCTTTTCCTCTCAAAAGTATATTTTCTTCCTCATCGAAGGTACGTTACAATCTTTTTCTTCTTTCTATATACTTACATATAAATATATATGTGTATACGTATGTATATACTGTATCCCACTCTAACACGTAGTTATATTCAAGAAAATACACATAACTACCCGGAGACCGCCAAAGTTTGGTCTTTGAATTTGAAAGCTTTAAATTTGATTCCCTCTCTTTGGACCTTTAAAAGCGTGTTGTGTATAGCAACGTGAAGAAGAAAACGAAGAGAAAAACAGAGAGAGAGAGAAAGAAAGAGAGAGAGAGAGAGAGAGTTAGAGCTCGTGGAAATTGGCAGTCGACCTAATCTCAACGAAGCTTTTCAGTCGAACCGCGTTTCAGAGAAAATTCGAAACCTACAGTATCCCCGTTCTAAGTTCTTGTCTTTGAACGTTCGTTTCACTGATGTACATCGTCGTCTACTACGCGACAACAGCAACGACGACGGCGACGACGAAGACCAACATGTAAAGGGAAAACTGTATAGAAGAAGGTACCTACCTTACGTTAGAAAGTGTCGTGCTTGCAGTACTTCCTAAAAGCTCCGTTCACTTGCTCCTCTTGCGTAACAACGCGTCTCTCTCTTTAACTCTAATACTTCCTTCTCTTTCTTCTTCTATTTTCCTATCACTCTCTCTTTCTCTCTCTCTCTCTCTCTCTCTCTCTCTCTCTTTCTCTCTCTTTATCAATCTTTCTCACTCTTTCTCTTCTCCTGGCACATAATACTCGTTGAAATTGCTAAACTCCAAATTTACAGATCATAAATCATTTTGCAATCGCCTATTTCTTCTCTCATTCTATCATTCTCTTTCTCTTTTCCTTTACGATATCGTTTCTTAACGAAGCTTAACGACGCACACTTTAGTGCGAGAAACTTTCTTAAGAACCGCCCACTGTTATATCTTCCCTTACCCTTACCACTTCCTCTTCCTCTTCCTCTTCTTCTTCTTATTCTTCGTCTTCTTCCTCATGAGTTAACGTTACTAATACTAATCTCGTATTTTATCTCGCATAAGTGTGTATAATATTATAGTAACTGACGATCACTTCTAACTTAACTTTATTACTCTACCTGTTATTATTTACAACGACGTTTACGATACATATTCAAAAGCTTTACACTATACATATATATATATTATCCATTTTACATTAGATCCAAACGCGTTTTTTCTTATTTTACTTAATAATATAAATCGACTTTTCATGAAATCCAATAAGTTTCAACGGATTTTCTATACTCATTTATCACGAAGAATAAGACGTTGTATATTGTCCTAATGAAAAAATAATGTTAATGTTATATCTTATATGATTGACGTAGATCGTGAATCTCTTCTTCTCTCTGAAAGAGAGAATATAAAAAATAAGACGATAGAAGTACCGAGAAAGAAAGGAAACAGATAGACAGACAGACAGACAGCGATAAAATAAAAATACTGCGGATAAATTACACGAAAGAAAAAGAGAGAAAGAGAGAGAGAGAGAGAGTGAGTTAATATTGGAAAGATAAGGACGTCTTTTTCACCCTTAACCCCCCCCCTTCCCCCTTTACCCCATATTTTCAATGAAGTATCTCTAGAAGAAAATGAAGAAATAGAAAGTGAGAGAAAAAAAAAATGGACAAAAAAAGCGAAGAAACGTTAGAACTCGTTCGACTCCGACACGTAATCAAAATACATGGAAGAAAAAACAAACATAGAGAGAGAGAGAGAGAGGAATCGAAGGACGACGTCTTCGGGGCAGCAACCGCCGACGTTTTAGTACAAACAACCTCCTTCCCCTGCGTTTGCGGAGAGCTTGCGCGCGAGAATGTAGCCGCGAAGAGAGCGGTCACGAGCCCTTTCTCCCTCTCCCTCTCCCTCTCTCTCTCTCTCTCGTAAAAAAGAAAAAAAAAATTATGTTCGACGAATGGAAAGAAATGAGACAGACGGACCAGACCGTAGGTACATCGAAAGAGAGAAGAAGAGAGAGAGAGAGAGAGTGAGAGAGGATGCTGCGCAACTCGCACGAGTCACCCCTTCCTTTAGCCACCCCCCACCCCCCACCCCGGTTTTCTTCTCGTCATGGCATCGTTCGTCCTTTTCCGATAGTAGCCGTCGCGCGTGCTCGTCGTTCTCCGAGTGTGCGTGTGAGTGAGTGAGTGAGTAGAGTGAGAACGAGAGAGAGAGAGAGAGAGAGAGAGA